AAGTTACCTCTTTAGGTTGCAATGACTTGCAAGATAATGCAATGTTTTGCAGGAAGCTGTAATCACCTTCTGTTTTCTGCTCTCTCCCCAGCTCATGAATGGGGGTTATTTACTCCTATTGTCCCTAGCCAAGCACCTTACAAATGTCTAGCACTACAGTTTCCATCACCCTGAGCCAGTGCAGAGGGTGCCCACATTGGGGAAACTTGGTTTAATAGAAGGATTTGCTTGGGTTAATTTTGTTGCAGAATTTGAATTCCTTTGGGGATCCAAGTGTCCCTTTTTCCCCCCCCCTGCCCAATTCAGTTCCTTAGATGTGTCTTTGGGAATTTCAGCAGAAATAAATGGAGAAAATGAGATAAGGTTCATTACCTAAAAGGGTGATATTTAGAGCAGCAAATGGTATTGTATGGTTTGATTCGTGGATTGGCAACTTTTAAGATGGGCGGACTTCTTCAACTCCCAGAATTCCTGGCTGGGGATTTCTGGGAGATGAAGTCCACCTGTCTGAAAGTTGCCATGTTTTCAGAAACACCGTTCTCAAAACCTAACCAGTGAGAGTCCAGCTGAAGTTTTGTGGAAGGACTGGCACTCTTATGCCCACACACAGACACCGTAACTCAGGGGTCTTCAAACTTTGACAGCTTTAAAAGACTTGTGGACTTCAACTCCCAGAATTCCTCCTCCAGTCATGTTAGCTCAGGAATTCTGGGAGTTGGAAGTCTACAAGTCTTAAAACTTGCCAAGTTGGAAGATCCCTTGCTATGCCTGATGGACATCTTCCCTCCCACTAAGCAAAATGTTAAGACTGCTTGTCGTACAATTTGAAAACTTAAAACTCCTTACTGTTCAATAACTCTTATGGCACCCCCATGGTCTTCAGTTGTCTCTCCCTGAAGATGTCCTCCTTATCTAGAAAATACTATTGGGTGCTGTAGAGGACAAGAGATGATTTACCAATCCTAAATATGATGGGAATACTTTCCTCGGCTGAAGGGGGCGACTTGCAAAGATCAGAGCTGGTCTGAAATGCAGTATTTCAGAAATGCTGCAGCTTCCTTCCATGATGCCCCAACAAAAGTCTGTTGAACCTACTGAGATATTTTTTTAGTAACACTGGTGCTTTTGGAAAGTTTTTAATTTTTGCTCTGCAGAGGGACAAGGGTCCCAAGGAGGGCAGGGGGAATACCAATCAGACCCTTATCCTTGAAGGACTCTCAAAGTCCAAGGTGGTGGAATGGAGGCCCCGTTTTCCTCTATTGAAGTAACTCAGTTGTAAGTGTCTCAGTGCAACTTTTGGTCTGTCCCAGAGATGGTGGGATTCCAGCTGTGGTTGAAGTGGCTAGAGCGGAGGCCTCCAAACTTGGCAACTTTAAGACTTGTGGACTTCAACTCCCAGAATTCTCCAGCCAGCACAGCTTACTCTCTTGTAATCTCTTCCTCTGCAATCTCTCTCCACTTTAGGAGGTTAAGAGAAAAAAGAAACAGGCACGGCTGGCTGGGGAATTCTGGGAGTTGAAGTTCTCAAGTCTTCAAGTTGCCAAGTTTGGGGACCCCTGGGCTAGAGATCCTTGGGAGTCCCAACTTCTCTGGAAGAGGCCAAATTGGGGGAATGAAACTTTTTAACAGATCTTTTGAGAACGAAAATTATTTCTTGGGATCTGCGGGAGGAAGAACAGAGCACGGATAAAGCCCCTCTTTGCTGTTAGATTGAGGGTGGGAAGGAGGGCATTAGGTGGGCACACAGCTTCAAGAACCATCTGCCCCTTCCAGAGGCATCAGCTTAGAAGATTCGGAGGGGTGGGGCTGACTCCATGTTGACCACCAATGTGGGATTGTTTTCACCCTTATTCTTATGTGCCTTTCTAACTCAGGACTTCTTAACAATGACCTTTCTGGCTGGTGTACATGTGTGTTTTTAATATTTTTCTTCTCGGGTTGTGTTATTAATAAAAAGCTGACCTTGTTGCATGAAATACAGTTTTTAAAAGCGTGGCTAAGTGGTTTGGTCACTAAAGTCACTTGATTTGTTGGGGTTGGGACTGGTAAGACTATGGAAAAGTGCACAGATTCACTTATGCCAAAGACAATGGTTCTTTCTTTCTTTCCTTCCTTCTTTTTCTTTCTCTCTCCTCTTTCTCCTCCTTCTCTCATCTTTCTCCCTCCCCCTCTCTCGTCTTCTTCTCTCTCTCTCTCTCTCTCACACACACACACCATCTATCAGTCATCTATCAATCATTATCAACTATCGATAGTCTGTCTATTCTAGACGGAGCAATTTTTCAAGCTGCGGTCCAGGCAGCAGAAAAAGCTGTTTCTTGGACAGATTCGTAGCCAGTGCTAAGCCATAATATGTTAAGTTAGCAGGTTATTCAAACTGGGTCAAGCTAATGCTGGCTGTAGAATTCTGGGAGTTGAAGTCCATCCTTAAAGTGACCGGATTTACGTGCTAACTTGGTGCTTTCCCATATTCTTTCCTGGCTTAGTGTGACCTTCGGTGCTGGTCGTTTCCCCCCCAGCAAACCATGGTTTATCGAGATGTTGGTTTGATGACCGCCCGGTGGGACTCCTTCCACAAGCCCCTTCCAAAAAGTCCCATAACTTTGCAATGGAAAGCGCTGGTTGCTACGGAGCGGAGGCATGTGGGCTGTTTGAACTGGAAAGGACATTTTTTTTTTTCATTTATTTCAGATCAACAGAGTTGAAAGGGACCCTATAGGTCATCTAGTGCAACCCCCACCCAAGCAGGGAACCCTACACCATTTCTGAGAAATGCCAGTCCAGTCTCTTCTTCAAAGCCTCCAGAGATCCATTTTATTTCATTTTATTCTTTATTTTCCACATTCTGAATCCGAAGCCCGAGAAACGAGGTGCCGGGCTCTCATTGGCTGAGCCGCGCCAAGTGGGCGGGGCCAGAACTCCAAGCCAAGCCACCCGTCCGCTCACCGAAGTGTGGTTAAAATCTTTTTCTCCCCCCGCCCCTCGCGCTTTCGGGGAGCCTCCCACGTGGCCCGTACCTCTCCCGCCCTTCCCTGGGAAAAGTAGTTTTTCCCTCCCGCTCCTGCCCCCGCCTTCCCTTGCGGCGGAACTCCGTTTCCCAGGCGGCACCGCTCGTACTCTTTTTTCCTCCCCCCCGCCCCTTTCGCCGCCGCCGCCGCCGCCAAGATGGTTGGAGATTGTAGTTTGGGCGAGAGGAGGCGGCCGTTGCCCGGCGTTCCCCAGCGCCCTCCTGCCGGACTCCGTTTCCCGGCGGCCCTCGGGAGGCGGCTCCCGAAATCTCCCTCTCCGCCCTCCGCCGAGCCCCGCCCTCCGCTGCCCCTTTCGGCGGAGACATTTGCGAAGCCTTTTTCCAAGATGGCGGCCTGGGGAAGGAGGCGCGCGGGGCCCGGCAGCTCCAGCGGCGGTGCCGCTGCCGCCACGAGGGAGAGGTGAGCCCCGCCGCTCCAGCCGGGGCTTCCTCGGTCCTTGGAGACGGGCCTGTGTGGGCAGGGAAGCCGCTCCGGCGGCTGCGGGCTGCAAGCCCCTTCCCGCCTGGGAGAGAGAGGGAGAGGGAGGGAGGGAGGGCGGCCACTGCTTGGCCAAAGGCTGAGGGTTATTGGGGGCGGGGGGGGGGGGGGAGAAGGGGGGGGAAGCCGCCCCCCCAGGGCCGCACCGCCCCCCCCCCCCCCCCCCCGCCGATTCTCCCCTCTCCAGGCCTAGGAGACCTATTCCCCTCCCCCCCCCAAAAAGAAGCCAACCATTGGATTGCACGTCCTAATTCAATATGGGGAGGGGGGAAAATCACATGTATAGGGTGGAGGGGCCCTGAGTTGAACTGCCAGGGCTATTGAAGCTGGAAGTGGGGTGAGGGTTAAACCAGCCTAGGGAAGAAGGGATGGGGGGGGGGGGGAAGCGGCCTTGGGGGGGGGGGGGGGGGGGGGAAGGAAGGGATTGCGGGGGAGGTCGAGGCTGGTGGTGTGAATCAGTCCTGGGTTTGTGAGAATGACCTTGGGATGCAGGATGAAGAGCCTAGATAGGCTGGGCAAGGGTCAGAGGTGAGTCCAAAGCAGGAATTGAGGTGGGTGGTGGTGGTCGAAGAGTCTCAGAAGGGACCCTCCTATTTTTGGGGAGAGTCAAAATAATGGAGGGGAGAGGGGAGAAAGGCTTCCAGCCCTGCAATGATTCTGTTGGGGGAACCCAAAGATACTTTTTTCCTTTTCCCCAAGAGGCAAACTGGACTTTCTGGTTTGTCTTTTGAAGACGTTTCGCTTCTCATCCAAGAAGCTTCTTCAGTTTTGACTGGATGATGGTGGGGAACCGGAAGGATTTATGTTCCTTGAAGACAGCTGGTCATAGGGACTCTTTTAGTGAGTCTTTGAGGCCACCTGGGGGGTTTGTCTGTGTCCTCAGGATCACCTGAGTGGTGTAAATGGGTGTGGAGCCTTCAGCCACTTCCTAAACACAAGAGTGTCACAACACAAGAGAACAAACCTATCAGGACTAGATTCAGCGGTCCATCTGCATTCAGACAAGGGCCACTCTTTTGAAGACAGAAAAGTCCACATTTTGGACCGAGAGGACCGCTGGCTTGAAAGAGGGGCCAAAGAGGCCATCAGTGTCCAAACTGAACAGCCCTCTCTCAACAGAGAAAAGGACACCACATCACCCATCTCCTGTCCACAACACAGTCCTTTCAGCAGCTCTAAGCAGGCTCCACATCCATTTGCACTGTTCAGGTGACCCTCAGGGCATAGAACCTCCAAGTGGCTTGAGCGACTCTCAGAGAGACTACTAATGACCAGATGACTGCAAGGAACATACATCTTTTCATCCTCCACCCTTTCGGCCAGAGCTGAAGAAGCTTCTTGGAATGAGAAGCGAAAGGTCTTCCAAGAAAAACCAGAAAGTCCAGTTGCCTCTTGAAAAAAAAAGAAGAAGAAGCACCTTTGGGCAACCATGATCTGTATGACTGAGAATCTCCATAAACACTGTTGGGGTAACCTTACAATAGATACAGAGTTCTCCTGGGTGTGTTTTCTCTAGACTACCTAGTAGGGCTGGTAGAAGCTGGGAAAGGGGATTGATGGAAAAACTCATGAAAAGGGGGTCTTCTGTTAATTCAGCTGCAAATGACATGGGGGTGGGATGAGCTGGGGCCCTGGGTGGCTGGGAGCAATGAAAACATGGATGAAAAATGTAGTGGGCTGGTTGGAGACAGGTGTGAAGTTGCATTTGTCCTGGAGAAGTCCTGGGTGGGGGAGGGAAGAATCTGGCTGTTTTGGAAAGGCCCAGGTTTTGTGAAAAAGGGTGGACTTGGCTTGGAAGAGGGGATGATGATTAGATTTTTATCTCTCTGTTTATACATCAGTCAAGGCAGCGAGCGTACCTCATTGAGGGTTGGGGTGAACATCTGGGGGAGAACGTGGGAAGGGAAAAGTCAAGTTCCACTCTCAGGTCAGGAAATCCTCACCTTTCTTTCCTACATGTTGGAATCAGGGCAACACGAGTGCCTAGTTCACTTCTGAAGGTGGTTCCTCAGTGCTCCTAATTTATTTTTTATAAACGATTACAATTAAAAAGATAAAGAAAAAAAGAAAAAACTGCAAGAAAGAAAGAAAATAGAAAAGAAAAAACAAGGATAGAGTAAAGGAAGAAGAATATATAAAGAAATAATTTCTCCCTTCATCACAAGTACGAACTATTTTAGTAACTTATCACCTTCTTTTAAAATTTAGCAAATGATCTCTTCTTCCCAATCACCATTGCTTACTTACAAACCCTTAAAAGCTTCGTTCTTTGGTCTTGATGTCAGCAAAAGTCCATTAAGAATTATCAGTCATAAGCACCAGGTCTATTTTAAACTTGATCAAATAAACCAACTTTTACATTCTTCCTTTTATCAATCTTGATCTGTAATCCCATCGAATAAAGTTCTCACAAAGCCCTTCAAAGCTTTACTGAGTCTTCTTTTTTTTTTTTGGTCAATCCAGTATAGGAAAGTTATCCAAGTAACTCCTTTGATTTGTTATTTGTACATCGCTTTTAATTATGAAAGCATCAACCACTTTTCATTCGTATTATGTAGCTGAGCATCTTTTTTCCATATTCTTGTAGCTGGTCAGTTTGAAACTCACTCTCAGATCAGTTTGTCTGGAGAATTTGAATTACGAAGAGCCCGTTCTTTTTTCAATTCACCATTTCTTCCCTGCAAGTCTTAATTTTTTTTTAATTTTAGGTTGTCATTTCTGAACATTCCCCTGAATCTTCCAAAAATGACTTCTTGGTGCGCAATTGTTGGTGCTGGTTGATTTGTATTTTAGGTGTATTTGATGTATTTGTAGATGTATTTGTCTTGGATTTGGAAAATTAGGTGGGGAGCTGGCATGGAATTAATTTGAGTTGTGGGTGGGCTCTTAGCTTGGACATTTTTAAGTATTTCACCATTGGCTTTTCTAGCAAGATAGAAAAATGGACAAATTGATATTTTTGTTGGCATGGAAAGTTAAATATTGCTTGGAGGAAGGTAGGAAGAAGGGCTTGAGCTCCTGAATGAAAAGCGGGAAATATTTTTATTTTATTCCTCTCTGGTTACTTTATGGAAGAAAAATAGTTACATCCCAACTGTTATGTAACGAAGTCTGAAAACAGCAACTTAATTTTTATTCTACTGCCCAGTTTCAAACTTTGCAACAAACTTTTCTAACTTCATGGTGTGGCTGTGAGGGTTTTTTTATTGTTGAAATAGTTGGCTCTGCAAAGGAATGAAAGAAAAAGAGCTTAATTTTTTCAGGGAATATGTTGTTATATAAGTTTATATAAGGATGTCAAGAAAATATTAAAATCAGGGCCTTCTCTAGCGAACTTGGCTACAAATACTTGCATGTTATCCATGTTAGCCCCTCAACAGACTGGATCAATCAATCACATGTGAATTTTGTTATCAAGGGGTTGCCAATCAAAAGATGACATTGTTATCTAGTTTGCATTTCTTAGGTTGCTGTTCAACAGGGTTAACCATTAAACCACAGTGAGGAAACGGTGGTTGAAGCAGATGCTTTATTGCTCCAGCCTCTCTAGTTGATTTATTTTTATTGATTTACTAGATTTTTATCTCGTCTTTATAAGTAACTCGCAGGGGCGAGCATACCTAATCCTCCTTCCACCTCCTGTATTCCCCATGACAACAATCCTGTAAGGTAGGTTGGGCTGAGAGAGAGACTGGCCCAAAGTCACCCAACTATCTTTCATGGCTAACGCAAGAACTCCCAGTCTCCTAGTGATTGGCCAAAAGTCACCCAACTATCTTTCATGGCTAACGCGAGACTAGAACTCCCAGTCTCCTGGTGATTGGCCCAAAATCACCCAACTGGCTTTCATACCTGAGGCAGAACTAGAATTCTCAGCCTCCTAGTTTCCAGCCTGGTGCCTTAACCACGGCACAAATTAACACAAGGCAAAGAGAACATTTTATTATTAGTCTTCTACATGCTCTGGTCCCAGCTGTAAAGTATGTTTCCATTGTATTCTGGGATCCCATCCAGAGTTACAAGGGCACACCCTGTGTTGCATTTATTAATATTTATTTGCTCTATATAAAGTGTCTCTCCCCACAATTGTTGGAAACATCCCCTTCCCTCCTCACCCCAAAGTAGAATTAGCTGTGGTGTTTTTACGTTCACCCTGGGAAACATATTTGCTGGCTGGTTGTTGTTTTTTTTATTATCCCTATTTCTGAAAATGTGGGAGGGTTGTGATAGGCATTCTTCCCCTGAAGGCTTCCAAGCAGCTGTCTCAGAAAAAAATTCTTCTTTGAACCATGTGGTGAATTCAGACCTCGTGTTTCTGGGCAAGCAATAACGGCATCATAGTGGATTCTTTCCTTTTAAGAGTTCTCCCACATCGTTTTTCTTCCCCTGGTTTTTCCGGAAACATCTCCAAGAGTAGCTGGCTGCAGCTAGGAATGTAGTTTAGATACAGTGAATTATGTTCACCCCTGTTATATGCCTATTTTCACAATGGTCCAATCCTCCGTATCAGATTCCTCCAATTCAGGGCTGTTTTTCCTAGCCCTTTTCCTGAAGTTGTGTTTGGACTGCTGACTCGCTTTGAAGGCAAGGCGATGGGTATGAAAGGACTCATATTAGTGGGATTAATAATGCTCTATTGCAGGGGTGTCCAGCCTTTAAGACTTTTGGACATTCAGTTCCCAGAATTCCAGAGCTGGCTAGGGAATTCTGGGAGTTGAAGTCCATAAATCTTAAAAAGTTGGACACCCCTGACCTATTGCATTGATTCTCAATGGCAATTTCAAGATAGGTGGACTTAATTCTGGGAATTGAGGACCATCCGTTGTGAAGTTGCCAGAGTTGAGAAACTGCTTAAATTTATTGAATTACAGAAATGGAAAAAAAATACCATAATTTGGGTCATTGTATGGGGACTTGTCTGA